GAGAGAGAGAGAGAGAGAGAGAGAGAGAGAGAGAGAGAGAGAGCTGCTCCCCGGTGGTATTTAGACGTACGTTGTAGAGCTTGATGGAAGACCCAGTCGCGGAAGTTAAGGGATCATAGGGTGGTTGGAGGGCGTCACTAATTGGTCCTGCTTCTTTCCCGTCACTGTTTTGTTGTTGGGGTTGTTTTTTTGTTTGGTTTTTTAAATGTATGTCTTACTTTTTCTTGTCAGTAAATGACTGTTGCTATGCCGATGTGCTTCTCTTTATCTCAAATAAAGAAGTTGAGGATTGAGAAATCGCATGTACTAATTTGTAAATAGTTATTTTCCTGTCGTTATAGCCAGGAAAGATTGTTTGGAGTAATAGTCTACACATCCAGTGTTTCAAGACGTTTTTGAGTTAGGATTTTGCCCATGTGAATGAAAAGAGAATGTAGCAATAATGTACGAAGCCACAGCGCTTTGAAATGGACTTTGTTAATTTCTTGTATCGTTTGAATCTGCTGTATGCCCGTCTGATGTAGTTGGTGGGTGTACAGGTGTGATATGCCATGCTTTTCTATCGAAGATGTTGTCCTCATCACTCATTATTTTTGTGTGTGTTTGTTTGTTCATTGCTCTCTATTAACAAGTCACAATAGCCCTGTTGCTGTAGCCGCCATTTTTAAATACTTTTTGTTCTTAGTGTCTAACACAAAAAAGGACCCATGTAAAGGGCAGTAACTTGGTCACGTTTGGACCAATTTCCGCAAAATTTCGAAGAAATTAAATTCAACCTGAGGGACATTAGCCTCGTGAATATGAACCAAAAAAAACAAGTTCGAAAATATTAAGTTTTTAAAACAATTTCAACCACAATTGGGTGAAGCGCAAAACTTGGCAATTTGTTAAAACTCGCCTTATTGTTCTATTTCAAATAGTCACTATTTGTGCATTGAAGAGCAAATTCATACAAAATTGATATTTCCGACTTTTTAGGGAAATGATGGCTATTTAGGTCCAGGTGTTGACCATTTCTCTTTTTACAATCTCCATTGCGCCACTGAAAACTTTACTGACCCGTGGCATGTTTCTGGGTGGATTCTTTGGACATCCTGTTCTATTCTACATTGAATCTCAACTGTTCGATTGTTTGTGGGTTGTTGCTTTTGACTTTGTCAAAAATCCCCAAAAGTAATTATTGAAAGGGCTCAATTTTGGGGAATGGGGTGGGGGGATGGGGGTGACTGTTTATTGGTAAACTTTCGGTTTCTAAGTCGTTCCCCGAACCTTTCTTCCAACCATACAACAAGGGACACTCTTGACGTGTGGGGAATGCCTCCATCCCAGCAGAACACGCCACTAAAACGTAACACCGTATCCTCCCTAAACTTCTCCTGAACTTTCTCAGCACGGTGAGATAACTATCTGATGGGACTGTTGTTATGGTTTTACAATCCTTGTTCTGAAACCAGATTCGGCCGACGACGCCCATGTCGCTGAACGCTTTAAAGAAGAAACATTTTGATTGAGATTTTAAAAGCATAATATTTCTCGAACGCACTGATTGGTTTTGTTCATTGTTACAAAGTTGACACCCCCATGGTTGAATTTTACTTGTTCAAAGTTTTGTTGAAATAAGTCCTGATTACCCCAGGGGGCGGTGCTACTGACTGAAGTGTCTTGAGGCCATTCCCAGAGGGGGGACATTAATATGTTCTTATGCACAGTAGAATTGTAAATTATCTGAGTCATCAATGTCATGCTCATAACTGTGCCTGAATTTCAACAGGGAACTGCTGCTTTTCTTTCCAAATCCATACTATCGTCATTTTTTCCTCTACTTCTTTTGTATGTTTGTCACACTCTTGTTAACTGCTATTTCCGGGGTGCCTTGATAGTCGAAGCAGACTTTGTGTAATTGAAGCTAGAGAGGTGAGCAGAGTAAGCTTGATTCCCTGTAAAGGTTTCCTTGTTGACATTCACCCCATGGCGCTCATATGACCTTATGCAGTTGTGATGGCCGTTAAAAAAAACTCTTCTAAAACTAAGTCCAGTTTGACCTTTTAAGTGGGTCCTCTTTATTTTTCTTTATTTTTTAGACAGCCTGCACTTTCCTGAAAAAAAGGGCTTTCCTAATTTGTGGTTGGCGAGTGCTATGGTGTGGGTCTGCCCCTTCTTTCCTATGAAACATCTGTCGTCCTTATCTCTCCTCCCTTGTTTGTGTATGTTGCTCTCTAGTAATGCTTCTGATCTTCGGCACACATGACATTTTTGTGTTGCAAGTGCCGTGCAAATCTTACTTTAAAAAACAACAACGAAAAGCTGTTCTAGCTGGGTTGAGGCTGGTGTGTCTCGACTCAATACACCAGGCATGCTTCCCACAATAGAGCTGTTGCTATTGTCACCATCTTTTAACTTGGGCTGTTTTGTTCTTCTGTGTGGGTGGTTGGAGGGTGCTCTGGTGTGGTTTGCTCCTTCTTTCATACCAAGCATCTATCATCCTGATTCCTCCTCCTCCTTTTTGTGTTTGTTACTCTCTTGGAACACCTCTAGTCTTCGGCACTTAGATCTATATGACCTTATACATTGTGTTGCAAATGCCATAAAACTCTTACTAAAACTAAAAACTAAACTTCTTAGAACTGTGGCTGTAGTGCAGTCTGCGACTCCTGTGTGTTAAAGACTTTGTTATTCTCGATCACTTAATTCTCCAATTTCTGGTCAGAGTGCATATTCCGGAGTCTATAACGTGGTGGCTAGGCTCTTGGTGGTTAACACGCAGGAGACTTGAGTTGGATTACAATATTTTTTCAGATGTTTTCCCCCTGTCTGTAGGTGGTTGGCGGGTACTCAGGTGTGGTTTTCTTCTTTTTTTCCATAAAACATACATCGCCCTTGTCTCTGCGCCTTTTATTTGTATGTTTCTATCTAGTAACACCTTTAATATTCGGCCCTTATATGACCTAATTATGTTGCAAGTGCCGTAAAACTTTTACTGAAAGGACACCCCC